ATGGGAAGACTCCCCTTGTTTCTTGTCTGGATTTGTCTCACTTCACCCCCCAGCTGTCGGCTCTTGCTCTGCCCTTGTCAGCTGGATTAATGAGCCCTCTGCCCTCCGAAATCTGCTCCCCAGGGATACGCTGACAGACCGGGATCAAGTCCCCTCTGAAACTTCTGTGGGAGAATCTCCACCGATCGAGCTCCAGCTCTCAGGCAGGTTTTCCAGCCCTCGGATTGTTCCTGTCACGTTTCTCTGATCCCTCCCCAACTTCCCAACGTCCTGTTTGACATGTGGCCCCACCAGAGCTGGGCGCAGTCTCCAGTCGTGGTCTCCCCAATGCCATATCCAGAGGGGACCCCACTTCGCAGCTCCTACTTGCTATTCCCCGTGTCTTCAGCCTAGGGTTGTGCTCGCCCTCTTAGCCACAACATCACCCAGGAAGCTCATGGGCCATTGGTCCTGGGTCCTTTCCAGAGTCGCTACTTTCTAGAATACAGCCCCCAACCTTGAAGTGTGAGCTACAATCATTCTGATGGCCTACTCCTACTCAATGGTGATCTAAAATAACTTTAATCTCATTTTAATCCCTTATTCCATCCCCTTGTGTGTTTCACTTTAACTCCTCCCCCTTGTGTGTTTCACCTTAACTCCTCCCCCTTCAGAGATTTTTCCCAGACCAAAAGGGACCATTGTGATCATCTGGACTGACTTCCTGTATAAGACAGGCCAGAGAATTTCACATGTAGTCTGTGGTGTGTCTTCCTCACCTACTGAGTCAATGTTAGAGCTGGGTAAGATTTTTCAACCAAAACTTTTTTTTGGCAAAAAATACCGATTCTGTGACACCAAAATATTTGGTGAATCTGTGCTGGTTTCACTGGATTGTTCATTTCCGGGGGGAGAAAACAATTGCCAAAACAATCCAAATGTTTCTTTTTGACATTTTTCAAATGGAACAGGCCAACTTTTCGGTGCAAAGAACCAAAATTCCTTGCTTCAAAATTCCCTTCCATGCTGTTGAATGAAAAATTTCAGAAAAGTGTAAAAATGCTCCGAATTGACCCAAAATGATTTTATTTTGACTTTTCAAGGATCTGAGAATTTTGAAAATCTCTGTGTTTGGGCTGACCTGAAATTATGTATTTTTTTCAATGTTTTGAACTCCCCCCACATCCCAGCAGCCCTCCCTCCTCAGTGATACCCCTGGGGAACCCCCCCCCCCCCCCCCCCCCGGCAGGAGTCCCCCCCCCCTCCTTTCCCCCCGCACACAACATGTTGTCAGTCACGCCCGCAGGGTACGCCGCCTGACACTCTGCTGCTGAGATCGTGTTCATGTCTGTGCAATGTAGGACGTCGGAGAATGTCGCTGGGGGGAGGAAGCAGAGAAGAAAGGGTTAATTGTCAATTGGTGATGGACAATTGCCGATCAATAAATATAAACTACAATGTTCTACTCTCTATTTATCAATATAATGCATAATTAATAGGCACTAATTAATAGATGTCATTAGTAGCTAATAATTTTGAAATTAATAGTGATCAGTGTAATTTATAGTAATTGGTCATAATTAATTATTTCTAATTAACAATTATCAACATAGTGGATAATTAATAACCAATAATTAATGGGCACATTAGCCATGATTAATAGCAAATAGTTTCTAAATTAATAATTATCAATAACTTTTTAAATGATTGATTGACAGTCATTATTAACTAATTATTTCTAATTAAGAGTGATCAATGCAATGGATAATTGCTCTTCAATAAGTAATTGGCAATATTAACATCCATAATTAATAGCAAATAATTTCTAATTAATAGTGATCAATATAATGGATAATCAATAACCAATAACATGGGAAATATTAAGTCATGCTTAATAACAAATAGTTTCTAATTAATAGAATGTAATGGATAATCAATAATCCATAATAGGTCATATTAATTGCTATAATTAATACAAAATATTTTCTAATTAATAGGGATCAATAAAATGGATACTTGATAATTTGGGGAAATATTAACAACCATAATTAATGTAAAATAGTGTCTAACTAATAGTGATCAATATAATAGCTAGTTGATAACTAATAGGCAATATTAACAACCATAATTAAAAGCAAATCGTTTCTAATTGAGAATAATATGTGGATAACCAATTAACATTTATTAATGGGTAATTTCAATGGCTTTACCTACGAGCACATTGTTTCTAATTAATATGATAAATATAATGGATAATTGATAGCCTGTAACTAATATGTATGTTAACAGCCATAATTAATAGTGATCATTTCTAACAGTGATCACTGAAATTGACACGGTGTCAGTGACATTCAGTAACTAACAGTTTCTCCTCAATACTGACCGGATGCAGTAACAGTGGATGACTGACATATAATAACTGTAAAAGCAGCAGAGAGTCCTGTGGCACCTTATAGACTAACAGACGTATAGGAGCATGAGCTTTCGTGGGTGAATACCCACTTCTTCAGATGCATCCCATGAAGTGGGTATTCACCCACGAAAGCTCATGCTCCTATACGTCTGTTAGTCTATAAGGTGCCACGGGACTCTTTGCTGCTTTTACAAATCCAGACTAACACGGCTACCCCTTTGATATATAATAACTGATCACTTTGCATTCATAATAATGATCATTATCATAGGCAATGGGCAGCTGGCAATTAATAACCAGTAATTAATGAGCAATAGACTGGAAGATTGATAATGAATAGCTAATCATCACTTAGAATCCCACTCGATCCAAGCCTCAATCATGAACAACTGTTCGTGTGTCATTAATAATCAATAATTGATCCTGGATAGCTGATAACGATCCCCCCACCCACTCACCCCGCAGCGCTAGCCCCATACCTGGGGGGCTGGAGGTCGTTCCCCACCCCAACACCAGGCAGCGCCGGCTGGGAGGGACACAGCGCGTGGCCAGCGGCAGGGGCCACACATACTCGTTGATGGCAGCAGGGGGCGCCAGCTTGAGCAGCAAGAGGTCACTGTCTTTGGTGCGCAAATTGTAATGGGGGTTGCGGATAGCACGCACGGCCCCCGAGCTGCTAGCCCAGGGCGGGTCGCCGCAGGTCATGAGCCCCTCGGCACACCTGGGTCAGGCTGGGGCAAAAGAGCAGGTCTCAGGGATCCTTGCAGGCCGTCACCCTGAATCCCAGCCCCCCTGTTCTAGCCACTAGATCCCACTCCCCTCCCAGAGCTGGGGATAGAATTCAGGAGTCCTGGCTCCCAGCCCCCCCGTGCTCTAACCTCTGGATAGCCACATACACGGCTTGATGAGCCTGTTACAGCTCTACCTAACACAGGCAGTTCTTTTAGCTCATGCCGTATGACCTCCTGCGGTCAGATCCGGAGGTCCCAGGTTCATTCCCCACCTAAGGGGTGTCACACCCAGACCTACCCGGTGTGGCAGTGCGCCACAGTGAGCACCCACTCTGGGCTGATCTGGGTCCCCCCGCAGCTGTAGCCCTGGGGGGCATAGAGGGCAGCCGGCCAGGGCTGGGAGTGGGCCACGCAGGGGTGACTCCAGACCAGCCTCTCCATGCCTGGGGCAGCGGCTGGAAGATAAAGCCATGGAGGGGCATGGGGACCGGTGGCGAAGGGAGCATGGGGGGATGTGGGAGGGAGCCCCTGAGATTCAAATTTTCATAAACAGCAAACATCGGAGGCATAAATGGGTCGGAAGATGAACAGTTTTCCCTGCAGAAAAAGTAAAAAAGGGAGAAAAGTGTGTGTGTGGGGGGGGGGAACCCACAAAGATCTGAACTAAAAAAAACAAACAGAGTCCAGCGTCACTTAGATTTGTACTCATGCTTTTTTAGGGCCTGATTCTTGCTGTTTTTTTAACACTTTGGGTTGACGAGACCAAAATCCAGCTTGCCGAGTGGCCCTCTGCAGACTGTGTCACTAATTTAACCCAAGGCGTGAATTTAAACTGTTAGAGTTCAGTTCAGGCAGTGCTACAGGATGAGATAATTTGGGTTAAAAGGACCTGAATCCAGTTTATCAGGGAACAGTTCAAGTTGGCCAAATGTTTTCTGATGAAAAAGCTTTTGTCTTTGGAATGTGCAATTTAGTCAAAATCAAAATTTCCTGTGGGAAAAGGCCACATTTGACACCATTTTTCAGTTTCCTGAATAAACGCCTACCTCAAAGCACCTTACAAAGGCCATCAGTTGCGTTGTCCTCATTGTGCAGATGGGGAAACTGAGGCAGAGAGGTGGGACGTGACTCACCCACGCTCACCAGTGGTGGTGCTCTATCCAGTAGGCCCCGCTGCCTCCCCAAGGTTGTGAAACGAAACATCGAGTCGAGCCGAAAAGCTTGGGGTTCAGTAAACGACTCAACCGGTGTTTTGTTTCCAGGTTGAAATTTTCCCACTTTTCATGCCACAGAAATACTCAAGGTTTGGACTTTTGGGCCTCAATTCAAGATCAAAAACAACCCTTGAAACACTGGGGTGTTCCCATGGGATGGAAAATTCCCCTCTGCCACCCACCCGGCCCTGAGAATTAGCTTCAGTGGAGCCCAAAGACACCACTTTGAAACCAAAATCCAAGTCCCCATATGGGGGTTTGCTCCAATTCCATTAAACCGTCTTAAAACACAATTTAAGGATATTGCCTCTGCAGACAAGGAGCAGCATTTGCCAAAGCTTCTCAGTGATCTAGGACTCTAAATCCCATTGGCTTCCTAGGGGATTTAGTCTCCTAATTCACACAGGTACTTGGGGAGATTTTATCGCTGATCTCAGAGAGACGCATCCTTTCCCCCTTCTATCACGGATTCTTCTACAGCCGTCACTGGGGCATCTGGTATTTTGCCTGTCCCATAGCATCTCCTGGCATTGGTGGGATAATAAGGGTGATGCTTTT